GCTGCTTGGCTGCTGAGAGCCACCCGGAATGCTTTTTATTTATTTATTTATTTAATGTCTTTGCAAACAGTACATTCTGCATGCACACCTGAATGTTACCCATCTCTGTACAAACATTGTATCATGGTGAAATAAAGATGACGACATACACCACAGGTTTAGCCCTGCTCCTGCAGCTATAAACACAATTCCCGTAACACCTGTTACCCTTGTTACCTAACAGTAAATAGATATCTAGGAGTTAGTAAAAAAAAAAAATCCCCGTTTGGTGTTCTAGCCCCCACAAACAATTATATTTATATTACTGTGACCACGAACGAGTGGTGCTAGCGGAGGCTAGTACATCAAACGGGGATTAGAATTAAATTAATTCAGAGGCACCCACAATACCCTATGTCCTCGCAGATTATATATATATATGTCGTGCAGAATATGTAAAACCGGTCAATTAGCAAGAACTCATTTAAAATTAAGTCCTTTCTAAAATTTTCTCTTTTACGTTTAAAGATATATTTTTTTCATTAATGTTGATGCAAAAATTTATAATTTTGCACCAAAAGGAACTTAGAAAACTTACCTAACCTTATTATAACAAGTGCAATTTATTTTAGCATAATCCAACTAAATAAATTTTAGATTTTTTTACAATAATTTAATACTAAACAAACACAGTGAAATATATTTTTTTCGTTAGGTTCAGAATGATTTTGGCGAAATTATTGCATACACAAATTTTCGCTTGTCTTATATGGCAAGATGAGCGTTGCTATTTAAGCCAAGATGGCAAGTTCTGCCTATTCGGCACGATATATATATATATATATATATATATATATATATATATATATATATATATATATATATATATATATATATATATATTACACACAATCTTTAGTATTACGAGTTGTGTTGTCCCTCAGGTCACTAGAATTGACAATTGACAGTCAGCTGGAGTTTAGAGATAACTAAGCTTGTCTCCCGGATATCCTAGAGAAAGCTTGCTAGATTGTAATCTTCCTAGTAAGGCAGGCAGGGAAGAGACGGAGGGTCATGCTCAAGTGAACACAGAGCTGCATGTTAGTGGCTTCTAAGAGCACCATATACATGCACTTAAAGACACTATATATATGGTGATTTGAATCCGCATGCATGTGTGTATATTGAGTAAGATGATCAAAGGAATCGGTTGCACGAATTATATGCCCTCAAGTGAATTGCAAAGTTTTTATTCAGTGACACCAGTTATAAAGGTGGTACACGGTTTTCATTCAGTGACACCAGTTATAAAGGTGGTACACGGTTTTCATTCAGTGACACCAGTAACAAAGGTGGTACACGGTTTTTATTCAGTGACCCAGTAACAAAGGTGGTACACGGTTTTCATTCGGTGACACCAGTTATAAAGGTGGTACACGGTTTTCATTCGGTGACACCAGTTATAAAGGTGGTACACGGTTTTCATTCAGTGACACCAGTTATAAAGGTGGTACACGGTTTTCATTCGGTGACACCAGTAACAAAGGTGGTACACGGTTTTCATTCAGTGACACCAGTAACAAAGATGGTACACGGTTTTCATTCGGTGACACCAGTAACAAAGGTGGTACACGGTTTTTATTCAGTGACACCAGTAACAAAGGTGGTACACGGTTTTTATTCAGTGACACCAGTAACAAAGGTGGTACACGGTTTTTATTCAGTGACACCAGTAACAAAGGTGGTACACGGTTTTCATTCAGTGACACCAGTTATAAAGGTGGTACACGGTTTTCATTCAGTGACACCAGTAACAAAGATGGTACACGGTTTTCATTCGGTGACACCAGTAACAAAGGTGGTACACGGTTTTCATTCGGTGACACCAGTTATAAAGGTGGTACACGGTTTTCATTCGGTGACACCAGTTATAAAGGTGGTACACGGTTTTCATTCAGTGACACCAGTAACAAAGGTGGTACACGGTTTTTATTCAGTGACACCAGTAACAAAGGTGGTACACGGTTTTCATTCAGTGACACCAGTAACAAAGGTGGTACACGGTTTTTATTCAGTGACACCAGTAACAAAGATGGTACACGGTTTTCATTCAGTGACACCAGTAACAAAGGTGGTACACGGTTTTTATTCAGTGACACCAGTAACAAAGGTGGTACACGGTTTTCATTCAGTGACACCAGTAACAAAGATGGTACACGGTTTTCATTCAGTGACACCAGTAACAAAGATGGTACACGGTTTTCATTCAGTGACACCAGTAACAAAGATGGTACACGGTTTTCATTCAGTGACACCAGTAACAAAGATGGTACACGGTTTTCATTCAATGACACCAGTAACAAAGATGGTACACGGTTTTCATTCAGTGACACCAGTAACAAAGATGGTACACGGTTTTCATTCAGTGACACCAGTAACAAAGATGGTACACGGTTTACATTCAGTGACACCAGTAACAAAGATGGTACACGGTTTACATTCAGTGACACCAGTAACAAAGATGGTACACGGTTTACATTCAGTGACACCAGTAACAAAGGTGGTACACGGTTTTCATTATAAAGACGTCTGTCGAGATAATCAAAGAATGTGTGAAGGAATCTCGTAAGATAGTCTTATCAAATATAAAGAAATAGGTAAATTTCGTGACGAAAATGAAATTATCTGTTTCGACGTAACTTAGGATGACACTGCACACCCGAGGTCATCATTCAGCACTTGGCTTGGACATTGTAGTGTATGCCAAAACAAAACTCGTACTTGAGTACGTAGTTTTGTCCATGTACTCAAGCCATTTTCACACTAAACTGACTATAAAAAGGTATGACCAATGGTCAATGGTCATAGCATGGTCATTGACCATTACTGTACCAAAGTAATTTATAACGTCAAAGCACATCTTGATTTCGTTGCTTTTTCTAAGTATAATGGCAGGTATGAGAAGAGTAGTGTGAACATGATGTTTGGCCTCAGTCAATGAGCACTGAAAGAGATCAGCCTAAGACGCCTTGACCAAAGCAGCAGCAGCCAGTGTTAAAAGGGTCAAAGAAAATGAGGTATCTAGAGTATCCTGTTCCAAGATGTAACGTAGCACATGTTATTGCAACATGGAGAACATTATGTTGAAATTTCTTGGACATCATCCAACATTTGTATTTACCATCAATTTTCTCAAAAAAGATTTTCCTCATAACTGTCACGTCTCTTTTATTAATGTAGTTCTTATTATTTTTGCATTAATAATATACCATTATTTTACAAAGTGTTAATTAAATATTTGCCAAAATAATTCTTCCTCTTTTTGTTTAGGAAGAAATAGAATTTTGAGAGGATAATGTAATGTAATTTGATAATTCTGCCATTGCAGTAAAATCAACCGGGTTTCACTTAATCCTGAACACTCACCTAAAACACTGTTGACATTTCCAATTTTGCGTAAACTGTCTCATAAGTGTCGCTATATCGATTTTTATTTTATTTTTTTAGTCAATCTTCATGGAAACTATTACGATACGATCCTCTTGATCTTCTAAACTCTCAATAAAATAATCAAACGATTATGACCACTATTACCCAAGTTGTTAATTTCAACCCTCTCCCCCTTTATATACTGACAATGATGACAAGTTGAAGGTTGAGGCAGTTGTGTAATATTTGTGAATCTTTATTACGGAAACGTTTCTCCAGCAAGTGGCTTCTTTAGTCCATTTACGGAGAAGGACGGTGGAAGATGGACTGAAGAAGTCACTGGCTGGCGAAACGTTTCTGTAATCAAGATTTCCAAATGTTGCAAAAGTGGCTATGTTGATAAGACAATATGCGTCGGCGAAACGTCACAAATGTGTCCTTTACCCCATTTTGTGTGTATGTGCATACCGTTTCAGTAAGATTACAAGCTAAGAGGACAAGAGAGGCGCTGAGGCGGCTTCAGCATGCTGCAAAGTGCTCACGGAAATGGCCCCTTGAATTAAATTTTGATTACGTTATTCAAAATAAAAACAGAAGTGGTAGTGAAAGAACATATACAATATAACCTAGAAGGAGAGAAGATACTCAAAGCTTTACAGCAAGACTGGTACTAGAACGAAGGGACAACGAACTACAAGGAGAGAATTAAAAAATATATAGACCTGACAGCTATACTACTGCGTCAATCGTCATCGAGACTCATAGACAGCAGCGTCATGCCCATTCCTGCGCCGTCAGGAGAGACGGGAAAGTGTACTAGAGATATTCAGAGTTCAAGGCACATCAATTTTTGATCATCTCATGTTAGGAGACCCACTTCATGGCCTGATCGAGAACACCTGAAGTTCGAAGGAAGAGATGGCCCAATAGAGCACGCAACGGTAACAGTTTTCAGCGTAGAAAAGCGACGGAAACTCAACCCGGAGCGATAGCTACAATCCCCTGCTGATGGAAGCAAGTTTCCTAAAGAGAGGGCGTCGAAGAGTGAACTGCTAGGCCGTCCAAATATAATAAGACCTCGACGTCAGTGGGAACAACAGAGCACACCGTCCATGCCTACTACACATTTAATACTGAATGGTGCCATGCAAGAGCCCATACTTCAGGTAGAACTCCTCAGAGTAGAGCAGCAAGAATCATCCCTAACTATGAACGATCTGTTGCTCGAAAATTATCTGGTATATCTAGTTGGATGACTCCTATTAGAGCCAGCTAGTCCAATGGTTAGCACACTGGCCTGTACGTTTGAGGACTCACCTGCCATGGGTTCATGTCCCACCCGGTCAGTGATGTATTCAAGAATGTTGTGAATTGTGCACGTGTCCTTTTCCACAGTTTGTATCAACATAACATTGGCAACTTGTTGCTTGTTACATATACGCTAATAACATGAATTATATCAACCTTTTCACTATGTACAACCTACTTAGTGTATCTGACATAGCAACTATCTACTGCTTACAAGAATACTCTCTGATACTGCAATGAACAGATTATTGTTATAATTTCTATTGTCTAGTTCGTTGACTGACCTGCGTCTCTCTCCCTGATGACCCAGGAACCAGCGGCAAACTCTTGCGGGTACATAGAGTCGACAATCTCGCGAACTTGGCTGGAGTCGAGGTGCTTAAGGAAGTCGTTGTCCATGATGGCATCCTTGATCAGCTGCTTCGATCTGAAGGCAAAGAAAGGATAAGTCTTAATTATCGTAATCCTGGTTTAATGCAGGTTAGGTTCTCCGATATCTCAGGCTAGTTATATATATATATATATATATATATATATATATATATATATATATATATATATATATATATATATATATATTATAATATATATATATATATATATATATATATATATATATATGTCGTGCCGAATATGTAAAACTGGTCAATTAGCAAGAACTCATATAAAATTAAGTTCTTTCTGAAATTTTCTGTTATACGTGTAAAGATATATTTTTTTCATTAATGTTAATGTAAAAATTTTTAATTTTGCACCAAAAGAATCTTAGAAAACTTACCTAACCTTATTATAACAAGAACAATTTATTTTAGCCTAACCCAACTAAATATATTTTAGATTTGTTTACAGTAATTTAATACTAAACAAACACATTGAAATATATTTTTTTCGTTAGGTTAAGAATGATTTTGGCGAAATTATTGCATACGCAAATTTTCACTTGTCCTATATGGCAAGATGAACGTTGCTATTTAAGCCAAGATCGCAAGTTCTGCCTATTCGGCACGACATACATTTATATATATATATATATATATATATATATATATATATATTATATATATATATATATATATATATATATATATATATATATATAAGGTAAAACTGATCAATTAGCAAGAACTCATTTAAAATTAAGTCCTTTCAAAAATTTACTTTTATACGTTTAAAGATATATTTTTTATGTTAATGCAAAAATTAATAATTTTCTATCAAAAGTAGGTAAGTTTTTTAAGCTTCGTTTGGCACAAAATCATTAATTTTTATATTACATAAATGAAAAAAATATATATCCTTAGATGTATAAGATAAAATTTTAGAAAGGACTTAATTTTAAATGGGCTCTTGCTAACTGACCACAAACATATGGAATATTTACAAACATTATATCTCATAGCTGACGAGTGGAGTTGGAGCCCAAATGTTAATTTAGCAGGAAGGCTGGAGCGTCCAGCGTTGGTGCCATAAACCCCACTAACAAAGCTGAGGTGAAAGTTTTATGCTTCACATTCTAATTCAACCTGGAAAACTATTGTAGCTCCTGGTCCAGGAGGAATAATTTCACCCTGCGTCATTTTTCATGCTGTCATCCCCGTAGATTTTCGTATTCACAGACACCACAGCGGAGGATTTATATGAGAACATTTTATCTTATAGCCGACAGGTGAGGAAAGATTAAATTATTCCTACACGACTAGGCATTGCGAGAGCCTCCGGGTTAAATCTGCATGTGAAGGAAAATCCCTTTAGCTCAAACGTGTGGAAATCGCTTTATGGAACGGTTACGAGCACCCAAGTTGGATATCCAGCACTGCTTGTGATATTAGGGCGTCGGTTCGATCTTCACTTTTGAGTGATAGGTGTGTTAGGTACCCATAGTTACCAGTGTAAATAGGTAAATGATTTAGCTGAATTATTCGAGTTTCGGTATTGGCGACTTGCATCATCAGAATTAGTCAAATTGAAAACATAAACATTTTTAAACTAGAAATCAGAGTAACTGATGAGCAGATACAATACACTGAGGTTAAAATAACCATAATAAACCCTAGTTATCATTACCAAAATCTGAGTATATTAACAAGAATAATATGTGAAGAAGAATGGTGGAAATGATGCCACATTAACAGTGAACGAGAACTTTGTTAACACGTCAGTAAGACCAAGCAAGAAAACACCCAGAATGTAACTGCACAGGAACAAGAATAATCCGTATAAATCACAAAAATTTCCCAAAACAACCACCTCGTATCAAACATACCTAGCAACATGATGGCTGTACCGAGCAACTTACACTAGGCTGGTGGAGGCGTCATTAGTCTCTCCACAACCAGGTCACCGACTGACTCAGAGATATAACTGAGAAGCCAAGCTTTACTATGGGGTGATTAAGTGTGTGTTCCCTAATGACGCTAAAGAGTGGTGCAGTAATCCCAAGAGTCGTTTGACGTAAGTTTATTCAGGTATATACAAATACAGTTACATAGATTATCATATATAGCAGCATATGTGTAGAGAACCTGGGATAACCCAAAAAAGTCCATGGCTTCTATTGCTTAAATATTTTTTGGTTTGACCAATATATGACACTTATTGGCACTCACACTTAAACACAGTATAGGACTTAAGCTTTAATGGAATATTTAACTTTAGAAAAATATTAATGGTACTGTATTATATTAAAAAATAAATCTAATACGTATTTACTAGAGGGTAAAAGTCAGAGAACAATTATCTCTTACCCGGAGTGACCACTAACCAGTCCAGTCTTTAACCAACATGCATATTTATATAACTCACAGGGGGAAACTATTATTAATTTGAACGGGTCTCAGATGTTCGAGCCTTATATATGCTTGCAAATAATTCTAGCCAAAGATAAAAGCTCTATTTGTAAGAACAGACAAGGAGCAACGTATATAATTAATGGGAATATAAGAAAAACCTAGTACACAGGTAGGGTGATTTACCAAGAAGCGAAGAGTTGTAGTGGCCGCTCACATGTATTGAAATACTGAAGCCAATTGGATGACTTAGTATAAGTTCAATATCTATATTATGCCCCTCTGCCCCTCATACCCATCCTGTCGGCGGTAGTCAAAAAATTGGAGGTATATTATGAGTCCAGGGCTGCAGAGTTTTGAGAGCTGAACAAGACGCAGTGGTAATGAACCACTGGATGAGTCGTCTCATGTTATGAGCATTTTATTATTATTATAATCAAGGGGGAAGCACTAAACCCGTAGGATTATACAGCGCCTATGGGGGGATGGAAGGCATTCAGGCTTAATTCAGGGAACTGGAGCACAGATCCAATTCCCTAGATCAAGAGCCCCTCACCAGCGTCAAGGAGCCTTCCTTGAGGGGATGTTATGAGCAGATCCGCAGTTCCGATCTTCACAGCAATTTTTGGGAAAATGGATATCGGGAATGGTCTATATAAAATTAAGCAGAGGGCACCTACAGTGTAGGTGCTCAGATGTTAGTGTAGGTCACAGAGAAGTTGACATGTGTAGGTCCTACACATGTCAACTGCTCTGTGACCCTTTATCTAGTAATGGTTGACCAGAGTTTGAAATTTGAAGCCTAAAAGGCGTTCTGAAATTATAAACAAAAATCTTAGAGGGAATGAGGAATCTAACAGATGGACAGCTCTGGCATCATGCCGTGCAGTATTTAACCTGGAGTTTACCTGGAGAGAGTTCCGGGGGTCAACGCCCCCGCGGCCCGATCTGTGACCAGGCCTCATGGTGGATCAGAGCCTGATCAACCAGGCTCTTACTGCTGGCTGCACGTAATCCAACGTACGAGCCACAGCCCGGCTGGTCAGGTACCGACTTTAGGTGCTTGTCCAGTGCCTGCTTGAAGACAGCCAGGGGTCTATTGGTAATCCCCCTTATGTATGTTGGGAGGCAGTTGAACAGTCTTGGGCCCCTAACACTTATTGTATTATCTCTTAACGTGCTAGTGACACCCCTGCTTGTCATTGGGGGGATGTTGCATCGTCTGCCAAGTCTTTTGCTTTCGTAGTGAGTGATTTTCGTGTTCAAGTTCGGTAAGATAAGATAAGATAAGATTTCGTTCGGATTTTTAACCCCGGAGGGTTAGCCACCCAGGATAACCCAAGAAAGTCAGTGCGTCATCGAGGACTGTCTAACTTATTTCCATTGGGGTCCTTAATCTTGTCCCCCAGGATGCGACCCACACCAGTCGACTAACACCCAGGTACCTATTTGCTGCTAGGTGAACAGGACAACAGGTGTAAGGAAACGTGTCGAAATGTTTCCACCCGCCGGGAATCGAACCCGGGCCCTCCGTGTGTGAAGCGGGAGCTGTAGCCACCAGGCCACCGGGCCACCCGGGCCACCCCACCAGGCCACCAGGTACTAGTCCCTCTTGGATTTTCCAGGTGTATACAATCATGTATCTTAACTCAGGACATTTAAAATTACTATAAAAGCGCGAGTTTTCCATATTTTTTCAAATTTCTTTTTGTATCTGTATTAGTTTTAAAATGCTCTTAATACTATAAAAGTAAAAAATAATTTTGACTTCGCACTGACAAATTTAACCTCACAGAAACTAAACTGAATAGGTACTATCCTGATTGCTAAGTTGCATCAGCCATTAAATACTGAAGTTATTCACAAAGTTACACTCATTGATTGTTTCAGACTATGGAACAGAACTCTTCTCCAGACTGACAACTTCAAATCTCCGACTACAAGGGTGATGGACATCGTCTTCACATTTCTACTGCTCCTGCCTACTTTTGTATTCGACTGAAGAAGCCTACTGGGTAGGCGAAACGTTTCGGAATAAAGTTGCCTCACTGTTGCCCATGTGTCTTACCTACCAACCTGTCGGTATTGTATACCATTTCAGTATTCACACTCGTATATGTTGATCATGATGTTTAAAAGGGAATCAAAATTTCACACAAGTTTACAAATAAAATGATCAAGTTTGCGCCTATCTACTTGAGTTTCACTCTCCGCTGTTGTCAAATTAGTTATAATGAAAGCTTGAAGCTAAGTTGTTGAGGTTCATAGGTTACCTGCACACATCACGAGGTTACGTTAGGTAAGGTTCGTCAGGAAACAGGACAAATATTTCCTGACGCGGGTCTTAGATGATGACCCGCCTTTGGAGCTTCGGTCATCTGGCCGAGGCCTTCCAATGGCTTACCGGTCCACCCCTTTAAAAATTATGGTCATTTATAACCATGTACGGTTACACATCACGAGTTCCTTGAATGAGGTCCTTCTTAACGTACACGAGTGTTCAAAATTTGAAGCCGTTTAGGCGAGGCGTTCTCGTGTTATGAGAGAAATATCGAAAAGCATGAAGGGAAAAAAATTCAGGCAAGTACTGAAAGTAACCCTTTCGGGGATACCTAATTACGGTATATAATACCAGCAAGAA